AACACAGCCTAATTTTCATTTTTGGGTGAACTAACCCTTTAACTGTCATCCCCATTTTTGAAAATTCACGAGAACGTGCACTATCCAAACTTAAATTATTATAATTCATGAACGCTTTTGGAAGTTTGTTTTATTTTATATAAAATATTTTTTAAAAATACAAAATTGTTATAAAATTAAAGCCATATGTCTACATAAGTTGTGTTCGTTGTGAAGTCGATATAAAAAAAATTGAGGTTCATATGCAATTTTGTTTAGGCGTTATACCAAAAACAGCCACCGGGTGCCACCCAAACTCCATTGAAATTTTTTTTGATGCATTTCTGTCACAAATCTATCAATTTCTCTCAAGATAATAAAAAGTTTTGATTCTAAAAGACTGTAATACATTTTGTAATATGACACCCCCGCTAAGGGGAGGAGACTGCTAAAAGATTTTGAAATAGCATTTCTATGGTAACGCAATGTCCGATTTCAAAATGGTTTTCACAGGATAAATTGAGATTTTAAGCTTTCAAATGGTATATAACTTATGATGATTACTAAAACCTGAGATAGGGAAAAAGGCAACGAAATAAAGACTTTTTGTGACAGTGGCCAGAACTCCTGTTATGATGTAGATTTGTCATAGACTCTTGGTGTACTCTTGTCATAAATTAATCTATTACTGTTCCTACATAATTTGTAACAAAATAAAATGGTAAAATATCTATTTAGGAGTCTTAGACCTTTCCAATGAAATATAGTTTGTCATGATTATACTAAGATTTAATTGTACTATAGTGAAGTAAACTTAGGTATCCCGTCCCGGTGACAGTTAAGGGGTTTTTAATGTACTCTGTGCTTGAAGTAATGACCGTCTTTAATCAAGTACCTTCAAATAGTTCCCTCTAATATTTTTCAGCATTGAGCAAATCTCTTTGAGTGCAAGTTTAAATACATTTTAAATCTCCTCCCATTGGACTAGAAGAATTTAAATAAATAAATACATATAAATAATGTAATACATGTAATGTAATGTAATATATTTAAATAAATGTTATATTACAATTTTTTTAAATTGTATTTAAATTTAAATGTATATAGAAAATGTAAATAATATATAAAGTATTTTAATAGCTAATATTTCATATTTATAATTCAGTATATGTTCTCTCTATCTTTATATATAATTAAAATAATTTATATTTGTTTATATCTATTTATCTATCTATCTATCTATCTCTCTCTCTCTATATATATATATATATATATATATATATATATATATACATATATATAGACACACATAATAATAAATCAGCATATTAGAATGATTTCTGAAGATCATGTGACGCTTTATACTGGAGTAATGATGATGGAAATTCAGCTTTGCATCACAGAAATAAATTATATTTTAAAGGATATTAAAATAGAAACCATTATTTTATATTGTAATAACATTTTGCAAGATTACTGTTTTTTTTTCTGTATTTTTGATCAAATAAATGCAGCCTTGATGAGCAGAAGAGCCTTCTTTAAAAACATTACAAGTCTTACTGATCCCAAACTTTTGACCGGTAGTGTGTGTGTATATGGTATTGCATGTTTGGATATTCCAGGTACCGCAGATCGAGAACTTCTAATACTTTTATACTATATTTAAACTGGATTTTAGCATGTTATATGAGCCACATGAAGAGAAAGTCTGCGGGTTGTGTTCAGACTCCAGATGCCGGCCCGTAGAAAGTGTTTGATGTTCTTGTTAACATGCACTCATAAATTATGAAGAGCGCTTGACAGTGTCAGCCTGTGTCATTATCTCTCTCTCTTTCTCCATTGTGTGTTCAGCGTGTCACTCTAACATTAGCTGCTCTTTAGTCCTGACTTAAGAGCTGTAGAGAACTGTATTCGTCCAGCTAATGGTCTTCATATTCATCATTTGTAGTAATTAGTAATGCTAAAGCAATAGTAAGTAATTAAATTTTAACAAAGTTTTTGCCACGGACACAAATGTATCCTGAAATCATGCAGCATGTTTAGCCATATCTAGAATGTGATGCTGTTGACTTGGTAACCACCTAGCAACACCCTAGCAACCGTGTAGTTCTGGTCGTAATTGTGTGTTTTGTGTGTTTCAGGCGTTCTGTGATGAGCTGGAGTCTCTGATCCAGGATCAGATGAAAAAGGGGAAAACCCCCACCAGTTTGCTGGCGCTGCAGCAGATCGCTGACTTCATGACCACCAGCGTCCCCACCATGTACCCCGCCGCGCCCCAGGGAGGCATGGCAGCCCTCAACATGTGTGAGTGTGTTACTTCAGGAGCATTAATATGCTACTATTTAATTTCTCTATATATGTACAGTATATTAGTGCTGGGCAACGATTAATCGTTAATTAATACACATTAATCGTGTGTTTGTGATTGTGTGTGTGTGTTTGTGTATATGTGTGTGTTTGTGTATATGTGTGTGTGTGTGTGTGTTCGTGTGTGTGTGTGTTCGTGTGTGTGTGTGTTCGTGTGTGTTCCTTTGAAAAAGTTTCCCCAGAAATAAAACGCTATGTAATGCATTTTTCCTTACAAATTGTATTATCAGCATAACAATTCGAGTAAATGTGTAAAAGGTATGGCATGAATTTGCCATACTTCTAGAACAATGTGCATTTATGTTAAAATTCTAACATAAATTATCAACTTTAGTCATTCTTATTTCTTTATTGCAAAACGCTAAAACTGGCACCGTTTTGGAGAGAAATGGGCTCTCATTTTAACCCATATCATGGTGTGTGATGCTGAACTATGTGTGTGTGTATATGTGTATGTGTGTGTGTGTGTGTGTTCGTGTGTGTGTGTGTGTTCAGGTTTGGGGATGGTGACTCCAGTGAATGATCTTAGAGGTTCAGACTCCATCGCTTATGAGAAAGGAGAGAAGCTCTTGCGCTGTAAACTCGCCGCGTTTTACCGCCTGGCTGACCTTTTCGGCTGGTCTCAGCTCATCTACAACCACCTGACGGTGAGTGCGTCACAAATATATACAGCACTGGACACATTACATGCGAGACTTCAATCCAAGCTCTCTTCCTCTGTCTCCTCAGGTCCGGCTGAACTCTGAACAGGAGCGTTTTCTGATTGTCCCTTTTGGGCTTCTGTACAGTGAAGTCACTGCCTCCAGTTTGGTAACCCTGCCTTTGTTTTTCTCAGCCATCTGGACATCAGAAGATAAAGGCTGACAGATATTATCATGCAGTGTGTAACTTCTGTATTTAACAGGATTGTGTGTGTCCTCAGGTGAAGATTAACCTGCAGGGGGAGATTGTGGACAGAGGCAGCACTAATCTGGGTGTAAATCAGGCTGGATTCACCCTCCACTCCGCCATCTACGCTGCCCGGCCCGACGTCAAGTGCATAGTGCACATTCACACACCCGCTGGCGCCGCGGTACCTATTCATATCATATATATATATTAATAATTAATTATTGATAGAAAATAATAATGAAATTATATTTAATCGATACAAAAAAAAAAGATATGGTGTAAAATATATTTTTTTGTGAACAAACAAAAATTATGCGTTTACATTTTATCAGTTTTTATTTGCAAATTGCAACACTTCATATAATATTTCATAATGTACTTTTGTACTTTTTTGGTGCATTTTGTCTCATTTCGGTTTAATAAATTCATAAATAAAAATACAATGAAATGAGTGCATAAATAGTGCAAAATGTATTTATTCTTGAATTTATTAAATTAATTTATTAAAATGAGACCCGAAATGCGCCTCAAAATATAATAGTGGACAAAATGTAATTATGAAATATATGAAATGTTAATACAATGAAAATGAAATGAGAGCATAAATAAATAGTGCAAAAAGTTAATTAATTAATAAAAAATGAAAAGAGATATAGTGCAAAATATATTTGTGACCAGATGAAAAATGACATTCGCCTTATTTGTTCACATTTGATTTTTTTTTTATATAAAGATTGCAACATTTAATGTAATCATTCATAATTTAATTTTGTCCATTGTTAATTTTGAGGTGCACTTTACGTCTCGTTTCAGTTCAGTACACTTAAATTAATAAATTTGTGAATAAAAATACTGAAATGAGAGCATAAATAAATAGTGCAAAATGTATTTATTCATGAATTTATTAAAGTTCATTAAAATGAAATGAGACATAAAATGCACATTGAAATATAATATAAAATTAATTTATGAAATATATGAAATGTTGCAGTGAAAATAAAATGAAATGAGACCATAAATGTTGCAATGAAATAATGCATTTTGCACTCTTAATTTATGCTCTCATTTCATTGCATTTATTTTTATTGATTTAAAGTTTATTAAAATGAAATGAGACATGAAATGCACCTTAAAATATAAATTATGAAATATTATATACAATAAAATGAGAGTATAAATAGTGTAAAGTGTATTTATTTCATTGGAACTTTTGATTTTTGATTTTTAATTTTGTCTGATTTATACATATTAAGTGTTTTAATATTTTGCTTTCCAGGTGTCTGCTATGAAGTGTGGTCTGCTGCCCATTTCACCCGAGGCTCTGTCGCTGGGCGAGGTGGCATACCACGATTACCACGGTATTCTGGTGGACGAGGAGGAGAACGTCCTCATACAGAAGGACCTGGGTCCTAAGAGCAAGGTACCACAAATACACACAGATTACAGAGCTGTAGCACGCTCTGCTGAACATCTAGCTTTGTCTATTCCAGAAAGTGATGAATAAAATGAATGTGTCCAAAACAAATCCAATTATAAATAAAAGGTCTAACCATTGCTTTCATTGTGAAAATAGAAATGACTGTATATGGGTCAAAGACGTTAAGATGTCCACATCAAAAGAATTTTACAAAAGTGATTTTATGTCCATAGAAAGCACATTAATTATATATGTAAATTTATACATATATGTAAATTTACATATATGTCGCACTGTACAGCCCTGAAATGAGTAAAAAATTCTTACTGACCAATGGGCAAAACCTAGGATAGTGGCAAATTTAAATGTAAAATAACTAATTAGTATTTGGGGTGAAAGTAATTAGTTTAATATGTCATAAATTGATTTTTGTTGTAAATATGCCTGACAAGATTGTTACACTGAATGACATTTTAACACTTATTGTTTTTATGCTTAAACCCTTTTTCGTCTTTGACCTATAGACAAGTGGTTGAATTGGAATATATGATTTTTGTAAGACTGTAAAGTATATTTTATTGGAATGACTTTTATGAGACAGTGGTTTTATTCAGAAATTTTCATTAATAAAAATATTTTTGGAAAATTGTGGATTTTCTATCAAGTATCCAATTGAAAGTGTTTATGTAATTAATTGAAGTCTTATTATTATGATAACTTTAAATTGCATAGCATTAATATAGCATTTGTTGCTGATATGGTGTTAAATTATTACATTTATAATGGTTTGTGTGTTCAGGTGTTGATTTTGAGGAATCACGGTCTGGTGTCTGTTGGAGAAACAATCGAAGAGGCATTTTACTACATTCATAACCTAGTCACAGCCTGTGAGATTCAGGTAACCATCAAATTAAAACTTTTAATTTCTGAATATTTTTAATGCGTTTCCAGCAGGGTTTAAACCCCCTGTGAAGCCTGAAATAGTAGTCAGAAAAATCTTTTTTTTTTTGAAAAATAAATCAATAAATAAATGGAAAAGTTTATTTTGAACCTAAAAAATGTTAAAAAAATTCTAAAAAAAAAGTTTTAAATAATATTTGATATGTCAAGCTTTTATGGCTCATATAGTCTGATACAGTGAAAATATGAAGGAAAATTCCGAGACCCAAACTAAAAAAAACAAGCAATTTGCTGCAGATGCTAATATTTCTATGATGAAATTCTGCTGCTTGTGATGTAAATCAGTGAGATCTTTATAACAGTAGAGCAGATACTGACATAAAATGATCTAAATCTCAGTTGTGGCTCTATATCTCCAGTAATAATAAGATGAGATTGAAATGCTCCAAACATATAATGCAGTGATTGAGAGCTGAAGAAATAAAGGCTCCTCCTCAGATGTGAGATGTTCTGGAGGCTTGTGAAGATCATTCCTCCGCTGAGGAACAGTGAAAGTAAAGCTTCTGGAAACAAACGCTCCTCAAAAGATCCTGAGGATCAGATTTGAGACTCTAAAACATGATTGATGGAGAATCAAGTAAAGCTGAGCTGCTTCAGTCCAGTAAGAGTTCATCTGGAGATATTACTGCAGTTATTCTGACCTTTACTTGATAAAAACCAGTCAAGATTTGACACGAGAAGCTCCAGCTGAAGCTGGACGTTTCTACAATTACACTAAAAGAGCTTTTACTGGATAAAAAACTCTAAACTCTCAATCAGGAGATCGAGTGCGACAGTCATCTTTAATGCTTTCCGGTCTGAAATTGCAGGTGCGCACCCTCGCCAGTGCAGGAGGTCCTGACAACCTAATAATGTTGGACCCAGGCAAGTATAAATCCCGTCCACGCTGCCTCGAGCTGGTCGGAGACGGGTCGAGCTCGCACCCAAAGTGGCAGATCGGGGAGCAGGAGTTTGAGGCCTTGATGAGGATGCTGGATAATCTGGTAGGCCAGGGTTCAAACTCTTCTCTTTTAGGGCTGTCAAAAAAATTCGAATTTCGAATATTCGTCAAACTTAAAATAAAAATGCAAAAACGTTGCATTCGAATTTTAGGTGTGCATCAGGCAACCTTATCAGTTGCGCACGAGATGCGATGACGATGTAAGTGTTATTGCATTTTAATGTTTTTCTTAGCCTGTCCAGTTGAAGCCACTAGATGCGGCGCTGCTACGTTAATTAAAATATTGCCGGGGAAAAAGAACATCTATGCGGAGATGATGTTGTTTACGTCAAAACCGAAACCAAACCGTTCACACAGAACCTGTGTTAATTTTGACAGCAAATTTTTATTTAGTTTTAATCATAGTCTTTTGACTAAAATGCCATTTAGTTTTAGTCATATTTTAGTCATCTGAATTGTTTTTAGTTTGTCGACTAAATTACAGTAAATTTAGTCAACTAAAATCTAATGGGTTTAGTTAGTGTAATGCATTTATTAAGCATTTCTCAAAAATTTCCAAACTCATTATATAGGTTTGATATTAAGGTTTTATCATGATGGACACCGATTTAACTGCGGTGACACAACATGCCTTTGTTAAAATTAAATAAAACCACTTCTCATAAAGAACAAGAACATGGTCTACTTTTTAATGAAATAACAATGGTTATATAGGCTAATTATGCATTCTTTATAGCAACTTGTTTACCATATTCTTCATTCTTCAAATATTATGCGACGTGCAGCAAGTGTATGTTAGCTTATGTCCCGCCGGTTCATATGTACGCATAACCTTCGAACCATGCAGCAGATTCGTTCTGAATGAACCTCATCCCAAATCGTCCCTCCCTAACATTTTCGTCTCGTTTTTATTCATTGACGAAAATGTCAATAGATTTACATCATAGTTTTTGTCATTCAAAAAGAGTTTTAGTTCTGCATGATTCTGGATAAATTGAGTTTTTTTCCCCCCCAATGGAAGTTGTGGTTCTCTCATGATTCTGAAGAAAAGACATTAGACAACTAAACAAAATCACATGTAATTTATGAATGAATGATTAAATGACTCACTCAAGATGTACTTTCATTACTGGATGAATCAGCGAATACTGGATGAATCATTGTAATTTAGCAGTGTTAATTTGACAGCAAATTTTGATTTAGTTTTAATCATAGTCTTTTGACTAAAATGCCATTTAGTTTTAGTCATATTTTAGTCATCTGAATTGTTTTTAGTTTGTCGACTAAATTACAGTAAATTTAGTCAACTAAAATCTAATGGGTTTAGTTAGTGTAATGCATTTATTAAGCATTTCTCAAAAATTTCCTAGGTTTGATATTAAGGTTTTATCATGATGGACACCGATTTAACTGCGGTGACACACAACATGCCTTTGTTAAAATTAAATAAACACACTT